TGCAATGCACATTCCCAGGCTCCGTCCGTAGACTCTTGTTTCTGTCCATTGTGGGGCAGGAATTGGGAATCTGTATTTTTTTTTTTTTTTTTTTTTTTTTTTTTTGCGAGAGAGAGAGAGAGCGAGTGAGCAAGCGAGCGAGAGCACAAGTGGGGGAGGGGCAGAGAGAGAGGGAGACACAGACTCTGAAGTGGGCTCCAAGCTCCTCACACAAGCCCTATGCGGGGCTAGAACCCACAAACGGTGAGATCATGACCTGAACCAAAGTCAGACGCTTAACTGAGCCACCCAGGCACCCCTGGGAATCTGTATTTTTAACAGAGGCTGCCTCTCGTGGAGGGCCAGCCTGGCGATTCTAACGCAGGCGATGGAAGGTCAATAATTTGAGAAACGTTGAGTTAGCTCCAGAAGCTGGACAGTATTCTCGATTCCACAAGAAGGAACAAGGCACCTTTGGAAGCTGTCGTAGGGAACAGAAATCTCACGTGGTGCCCGAAAGCACATCTATTTAATGCATGACGCGACAAGACAATATGCCCCGTTGGGCTAACTCTCCAGCCCAAACCCTGCACCAAACATCTCTGGTTTTGACTCTAGAATAAATGGCACAGAGATAGCACAGAGAGAAGAGCGTTCAAGCTCTCGTGTTGGCTCTGCCTGGATTCAAACTCAGCCCTTCCTGGCTAACGTCCCCCTAAAACGATGACACTGGCGTCACCTTGTTTAACCCAAAGATATTCGGAAAGAAAAGGTTTCTCCATCTTGGACACCGATTCAATGACCCACGTAACTAGTCCTGGGGAAAGATAATCGTGCAATGGAGCCCTAATGACTTAAGGGAAATTAACATGTAAATGTTGCTGCCCGTGTCTCTTACCAGATAAGAGTCAGGTCTTGTCCACATACCCTGCCCTCTGTTCTAAGCCACCCGGGCGACAGCTCTTCTATCTGATTGGAAGGGGCTTCCCTCCCGGGGGTCCCAGCCTTGGGGTTTTAAGAAGACCTAGAAGCAAGTTATCTGGCCTCTCCTTCATCCACGATGGGGCAGCCTGCTTAAGGGAGCAAGCTGTGGACTCTGGGCGCTTGGAATCCAACCCGAGCTCTGGTTTTTGCAGGTTTTGATGTCTCAGAAGAATGACCTGACTTCTCTAAGCCTCAGTTTGCACATCCTTGACATGAGTACCAGGTGCCCCATTAGGCTCCTTTGCAAAGCCGTTAGGCAGACCCTGGGTCCGCCATGTTCCAACTCCTCTGATGGGCACGTGATGGTCACGGCCATCACACACGGTCTGTCCTCTTGCCTCACACGGAGGTCCTGGAATTGTCTAGAGATGCTTTGGTATAACCGTTTACTCTGGGCTCTGCCTTTTCTCACAGTAGGTTGTCTCCACACCGGACACCTGGATGTCATTCCCACTGTCCCATCCCCCTTCCTAACACCTTGTCTGGCCGTCCTTTGAGCTCTGCCGATTTAACCTTGTAGACATTTCGCGGATCTCTTCCCCTCTCTTGACCCTACTGCTATGCTCTCTCAGACCACACCACCTCAGACCACCTCCTTACTGGCCTTCCCATCTCCACCACCCTGCTGCTGGGGAGACCCTGTCACTTCCTGCTTGGGAGTAGAACAAAGCCTCTTCAGCCTGGGACATGAGTCCTTGTGTGGCCTCTCCTTGCCTGACATGTCAGAAAGACAGAAACGCTGATGGACCCGAGTGTCCTGCTTCTTTCTCCCTCTCCATTTTGTTTATTCTCTTCCACCTGGAATGCCCTTCCTTCACCTTTACCTAATTCACTCACCTGGAAGCTTCCGCGATTCACTCATTATTCTGATTCTCTGTTTCTGCGCAGCAAATGGCCCCTCTCCCAAAGTGGCTTAATGATTCAAAACTTTTTTATTTCTCAAAATTTGAGGGGTCAGGAGGCCACACAGGGTACAGCAGGGAGGGCTCGCTGTGCCCTGGGGCAATGACAATGGGGCCAAACTGGGATGACCCCAAGGGCCAGGGGACCCAAGAGCTGGGGGCTGAGGCACTCTGCGCATGGCCTTTCCAGGGGGCCAGCCGGGGCTTTGTCACAGTGTGGCAGCTTCGGGGTGCAGACATGGAAGCTCAGGTCTCCAAGAGAAAAGCAGCAGAAAGTGTCCCTCCGAAGGCCAGGGCTGGCACGGTGCCACTTGTTCCGTGAGCTGTCAGTCAACGCAGATCAGCCCAGATACAGGGGGAGGGGACACAGACCCCACCCCTCAATGGTAGATGTGCGGAGAATTTGTGGCCATCTCTAACCCACCCCAGTCCATACCTCCTCGAGGAGAAGCGAGGCTTTGCTCGCTTCTCCCCGCTCCCCCCACCTTGGCTGCCCCCTCTCTGCTTTTCTCTAGAAACGGAATAATTAATAAATGGTGTAAAATCTCCCTCTTAAACTGGGAGTGGTTTTCTCGAATAAAGGGACTGGACCTCATTGATAAGTCATTGGTCACATAATGGGCGCTCAATCAGTTAGTGCTATTATCAGGAGAGTTACTGTTATCACCACAAAAAAGTGTGTCGTCTCTTTCTGTTTCGGCCACCGTCTTGCACAGAGAGGCCTACCTGTGGGAGGCTTACCTATCTATGGAATGAACAAATGAGTGAATGGATGCTTCGGCACCCAGTGCTGTTCTTGGCATTAGGGAACCAGGCTAACCAGAGAATCACGTCGGATTCTGGTCCACATAGATGCTTCCGCCTTCATCACAGATGAGTCGTGGCAGATCATTCACTGGGACTTGGGGGTTTGGGGGCAAACAGTCGGTTCCCCTCCCCACCCACCCACACGATAGGCCAAGGTCTTCACTGCCAGCTGCTGGTCCTTAAGCCTCCAGCGTGTACTCGCCTTGGCTGTGAGCGCTTTCCCCGCCACCTCGCCAGGAAGGGGCTGGTTTGCAGAGTGAGACCCTCTCAAGGCCAAGGGCCCGAGTGCTTCCTCCCTGCGCATGCCGCGGAACAGCAGCTGGCTGGGAGCCTGGCAGGTGTCTAACAGCCCGCCGCAATCCTGCATAACAGGAAGTGAAAGAGAACACCATATCCAATTGAAACTGCAGTGGAATATGGGCTGCAATGCTTAATTAACCACCCTCAGTCATTTCACAGATTTCTGTTGTTGCCGAAGGAAAAAAAAAAAAAAAAAACAACGGAAGGCAGAGTACATGGAGGGTGACAAAGCCATTTCTGGAATGTTCCTTGTGCTGTCTGTTCAGTCGCCTGCTGACATAATGCAGAGGGAATGCTCACTTCTGGCTTCGTTTTTTCGTGTGTTTCTCTAGTTTTTTGTTTTGTTTTGGTTTTGGTTTTTTGCCGGAGAGTCAAATCTGTGCCACACTCCCAGGAATGGTCCGTGTATGTGTGTGAATCGGTACGGTTGTGTCTAAACAAAGGTGTAGAAGGGTGTGGTGCGGGTTGTGCGGAAGACGTGGAAACCACCACGCGGGACCAGAAAGTGCATGTGGGCATTCCTGAGGGCGTGGGTTGTCTCACGTAGGAACGATGTGTGGGAACGGCTCTGCGGGCGGCTACGAGCAAGGTTCTAGGCGCCTACAGGGCACTGGTATGTCTGCGTGGATGGATATTTCAACAGATGGGGTGGCGTCCTTTCAAACCCAGGGAACTCGTCTTCCTCCTCTAGCACAGGATGGTCAAAGGGACTTTCCAGAGAAGGCTTTACAGGTCCTGGAGGCTTCACTTTGCCCCACGCCTTGTTCCCTGAACCAGATTTGTTCATGTAGATGGACTTGTTGGGCGATCGTTGGAATGCTGTAAAATCTGAGGGGGCATGAATGCATTGAAATAAGAGCTAAGGGTTTGCTGTGTGGCCGGTATTGCCCGCAGGTGCTTTTCACCATTGATCTTATTGGATCCTCCCAATAACCTTATTATTTATTATTATTTCCTCTGTACAGTTGATAGACTGAAGTAGCTAGGAGGCAGTAGAGACAGGGTTTGAATACACAATGCTGGGCATTGAGCCCCCTAGCTCTCCCAAGTCATCATCCCTGGGTACAAGGAAGGCACATCATCCCTAGGAAGGCGTCCCTGTGGCTCAGCCAACTTTGTAGGGGACACAATTTGCCTCGCTGCTGTTAGGGACAGGGGCTAATTCTGTGAGCATCAGAACTGCTCCTGAAAGAGTACCGAGATGGATTACGCTGGTGGCTTCTGGAAGCTGACTTCCGTTCTTTTTTTTTTTTTAATTTTTTTTTAATGTTTTTATTTTATTTTTGAGACAGAGAGAGACAGAGCATGAACGGGGGAGGGGCAGAGAGAGAGGGAGACACAGAATCAGAAGCAGGCTCCAGGCTCTGAGCCATCAGCCCAGAGCCCGACGCGGGGCTTGAACTCACGGACCGCGAGATCGTGACCTGGCTGAAGTCGGACGCTTAACCGACTGAGCCACCCGGGCGCCCCTGACTTCCGTTCGTGAGCCCCCGTCCCGCAGGATGTCGGTACCGTCGCTTGGTGACCATCGTGTCGTGTACTCCAGCCTTGCCTGGACTTCGGCACCGCAGCCCCCTAGCAGCCCCTCATCAGCATTTCTGGGTGGCTTCTCAGTAATGGATCCCCAACCCTTGGGGGATAGGCCATCCCTATCACCCCGCTGAGTGCTGGGAAAGCAGTCTTTCCCAATCCCACTGCCGGAAATTTGAATTTAGTGATTCTGGGGAGGAGCCAGGAGCTTGCATTTTCCCTGACCCCTTCCCCCACGTGACTCTGATGTGGGTGTCCAAGGATCACACTTTCAGGGAAAAAAAAAAAAACTGCCCTCCAAATTTTCTAGATGTATGTCCTAAGGACCCTCTTTCCCTGCACCTAAGAGAGCTCTCCGGAAGAAAGCTGTGATTCTAGGTCTGAGGCCACTAGTGACTGAGCAGTGCCCAGAACAAACCTCAAGAAAGTGGTGGCCAGTGTATTTCTCTACAGGCCGGTCTGCAAAGACGGGCAGTATTTCTTTAAAAGTAGTCAGGGAGAGGAGCAGACAAATGTCCATGTGAAGCCAGGCATCCCTCAAGGAATTTAAATGGGTCAGGAACTCTTAAAGAATTTCAATGAGCATGAAATAGGTATAGAGGGTTTTCTGGGCCAATATGCAAGCCAAATAGTAAATAACTATTTTCAGCACTGAATTTGGTTGGCAAATTTGCATATACATGTGATGCCGTGCGTTTCTATTTTTACCGTGTAAATCTGCAATCTGTACGGAGAGCCATGCGCCTCGGTGGAAATCCAGGCTCGGGCTGTTGGCCGCGAAGAGCTCATTTTCAGTCTGGCTGGACCGGGAGTTGGGTATTTTAACGAGTCCAGGTGAGAGGTGAGAGATGGGCAGAGAAGAGAGGGCACACGTGTGAAGTGTGCTGAGCCCTTGTAGTGCCAAGATCGCCCCCGAAGCAAGATGCCCGTGCCTGAAAAAGCAGAAGTGAAAGCGGAACGTTGACACTGTGCCCTGACATTAGCCTTGCACGGCTCGTGCAACTTCCCAAGCTTTCTTTAAAATCCACCTCCGTCTAGGATGCACTCATTATGATTCTTGCTGATTATTATACTCTGGTGTTTGTTACGGTCATTGTCAAACTGTGGGTGGAGCCCTGGCTTACACCTGCACAGCTAGAGACGCTCCCTGATTTATTTTTTTTCATGGTGCCCTTTTATTTTAGAGTGCAGTCATGAGCCCGATTGAAAGGTTTCTGGCAAATCTCTTGACGCCTTTATTTTGGCTCAGCATGGGGTTGCCACTGAGGTAATTTTGTCACTACCCTACGGGCCCCTCTAAGGGGTGACTTTGCTGAGTGAATTTGGCATCCCTTTGGATCCTTATGTGTGGGAAAGTGGTACACTCATTTCCCTTCTTCCTGCTCCAAAAATGCACGTGGAGGAAAGAAGGAGCGTGAAACTGTTTTTGTACCCAGATGTTGTATCTCGAAGGGAGCTCCGCCTCGGTCGGCTGGCGGTGGTTTGCTCTCGCTGGTTTCCCTTCTGCTGATAGGCTCGGAGATGGCTGAAGGGTCAGTGATGCTCTGCTCAATTACCATTTGATGTCAGTAGTTCCGTCAGCAGCCATCATTTGCCACAAATACTGGGAGATTCACCCCCTTAAAACACCTTGTAGGTGAATCACAGGGTGCGTTAGTCACATGGTCTACAAGGGCCCCCTCCACCACCACTTGCCTTTGTTTTTTAAAAAGAAAATACCATTTCATGTAAGTGGAAGGTTGGCAAACTGGGCGAGCTCCTCCAGCTAGCCCCCTGTACAAGAGACTGGGGCTTCTGTTTGAGGATTGGGTCAAACAGCATGATGAAAACTCAGCTCTCTCTGCCCAAGGTCTGAAAGGGCCGTGTAAGTGCCCAGGGCAGGGTGTCTGGAGCTTTGGTGTGGCCTGTGCTTGGTTCTCAGACACTTTCGTTTTCAGAATATTATTTCCTTTGTCACATCCAACCCTGAGTCAATAATGATTGCTGGGCAATTGGTTATAGCACACTACCATATTTGGACAATTTTAAGAAACTACCTAAGGTTTTTGTGACCTAGCTTCAAAGACTTGCAAAATATTTTCTCAAAGCATGTTTTAAAACATTCTAAAGAACTTTGTGTTCCTCTTTCTCTTAGTAATTGGGAAAAAAACATGTTAATGAACTAAAGGAGATGTACATAAAGTTTTGGGGCTAAAAGCTAAGCTATTAGGGTCCTTTTAGAATGCAAAAGTGTCTGCTCACAGTACTCCAGAATAAGGAGCTTGAAACTAAAATACTACAAACTTTTGCCCAAGCTAGCATCTTTGAAATAGTCTTACTGTGAATTGTGAGGAAGTTTCTTATATCTGAGGTAATATGATGTGTTTTCCTCAGAAGAGTAGTTTCCTCTGCTCATCACTGAGTTGAAAAGAAGTACTAGTCGTTATCTTACACACACCCTATCCATCCACCCATCCTTATCCACCTACAATCCATCCACCCATCCATCATTCACCCATTCATCCGTCCATCCATCTGTCCATTCATCCATCTATCCATTCATCCATCTATCCTTCCTTCCTTCCTTCCTTCCTTCCTTCCTTCCTTCCTTCCATCCATCTATCCATCCATCTATCCATCCATCCATCTATCCATCCATTTACTCATTCACAATTCGTATCACTATGCTAATTACCAGAAATACAGACATGAATCAGAAACATTCCCTAATCCCTGCCCCCGAGGAACTCAGGATCTGGTACAATAGACCCTTGGCATGTTCAGGCTTAAAATTCGTGGTTTTGACAATTTGTGAGTAACCCCAAAGCCTTACGATTTCACCACTTGTCATTTTCGCTGCTGTGTGGATTTGAATGGATGTAAATGGCATCTTCCTTGAAAGTAATGAGCAGAAGAAATCTTTGAATCAATGAGTGAGCATAGCTGACAGCCCAGCATCTACCCTGAGATCAACTTTGTGGTTTTGTACCTACAGTCATTCTCATCAGGGGATAAAACATGGTCTCAGGGGTACAATAAACTCCCAGAGAAAAACCATCTGCCAATGCTATTTATGGAACTTAAGAGAAAGTAAAGAGATCTACTTAAATTTTGAATGGAAAAGATTATATGACAAACTGATATAGAGTAGTTTGAGAACGTGCACATGAGCACTAATATCGAAGGCTAGAGGGAATGATTTCACCCTGTTCCCCCCGGCCTTTGGAGAACTCATGACTCTCGAGTCAATTACAAACACTTGCTTCCTCCAACTCCCAGGTCACAAGACTTTTCTTAGCTCAAGCAGCTCAGAATCTTTGGCGTTTCCATTGTTTTTTTTTTTTTATTTTGCAGAGGGTACTGCTGCCCAAGAATCTGATGCCACATCTGTGGTTCCCCCAGTTCTGCTGTTGCTATAATCTCAAAGCTAGAAGAGAATTAACTCCCCAAGCTCCATCAGTCTTAGAACCCCCTCTCCCAGGGAAGTGGAGTGACTCCCCAAGGCCCAGGCCATGGCTGCTCATGAGATCCCTCCCGAATCTCCTCCCCACTGAGAAACCCACCAGTGTGCTGGGTTTGGGCACAGACTTTCTGCTTCCCAAATGGCAGTGTGTTTGCCTCTCCAAATGCCATTTCCAGACTTCAGGAGCAGAGTTTGTCGCCCTTTACGGTGACCGTATCTTCATGTCGTGATTCCAAGAGATGACCGTCTGCCATTTTCTTCATTAACCTTCTTACCATGGGGCCCCTGTAGCCGTGTTCCCTATCAAAGCACCCTGGTGCAAGACTACAGAGTAGCGCCCTTGCTCTCCACAGAAAGGCAGGATTCTGTAAGTAAAATCACAGATGAGAGCAGTGTGCCTTAGGTGTGAAGGATGGTAATGGATTTCCCTTAGAAAAATGTCCGCAAAGAACTCGGTCTCTCAATGGGCTTAAGATAGGATTATGTGCACGAAGAACTGATTTACAAAACTGTTTTCAAGAATATAATCAACTGTGCAAAGCGAGTGTCATCTTTAGTATTACGTGCCCCATGGCTCTCTCTTTTATTTGTTATAACCTCTGACCTCTCTTATTAAACCATAGATTTTATTTTCTAACCCTCTTCAAAACTTTCCTTCTGCTTCCCTGGATTCCTCAGCATCCCTCTTTGGGATTAGTGGCACCATTACCACATTTCCTTCACTCGGGAGCCCCCATGCCCACCCCCTCTTTTCCCTGTCAGTGCTCAAGTATTTATTAAATGTGCGCACATCCTGTCCAACCTCCCAGCTCCTGATTGTTCCTCTGGTTACCTCTGGATAATCATTCATTTCTTTTCTCTTCTCTTCCTTTTTTTTTTTTTTTTTTTTTTTTTCCCTTCTCCCTCTGGCTCTCTGCTCTTTACTCTTCGGTCTTATTTCCTTTCCCTTCCCGATTCTCTTGCTTCTTTCTCTTTGCTCCTTGCCCCTCATGCTGATTTGGGAGACCTACTGAACTCATCATGGCCAGGGGTGGTAAGAGTTAGACTGTCGTGACAATGGATCAAGGACAAGAGAAATCAGATGTTCCAGAGGAAATTGATAACCAATAAAGAATCAGCCTCAGACTCTTTGAACCTGCCCCACGCTGTCTCAGGCCCGGTTCCCTAGAGGTAAAGCAGGCGAAGGTGATTCTCCAGAGAGGGGAAGGGAAGCAGGATAAGGGAAGATGCCAGACAGAGATGTGGCTTCAGCTGCAGTGTGGTCTCAGCCTCATCCTTTGGGGGGCTCTGGAGTTGTCCCCCCAGATCAGTCAGCCGATGACTGCTGCTGCCCTCAAGGGCAGGGCCTAACCTCCAGGCATTTTTAGACGGAGGCTTCTGATGGCCAAGGGCAAATCTCCGTACAAGGCTTGGCTGCACGCTCAGTGCAGTTGTGGGTCTTGTGCACCAACCCCGCCAACGGAATCTGAGCGTCGCATCTGCAGCATAACGGCACCCACCCTTTCAAAACCCCCTCAAGAATCATCGGGCTCCTTATCTTCCCCATTAAACTTATGTATTCCCTCAAGGACCATTTAGTTCAAGAGAATTAAGAACTCCCCCTTTCTTTTTAATTTCTACCCGCATTGTGTTTATTTGCATTAATTCCTCGTCTTGTAATCGTCTGCTCCTTTCGGCTCCATTACAAATCTTGGAGGTGTTCCGGGGTTGCCTCCGGAAGCTTCATGCTATTCCGACCGTGCTCAAAAGCCGTCTGTAAGATCAGGACTTGCCCTTCGTTATTTCTGTTTCTGTGCGTCCGGAGCATTTATGTGAACGTTGCTAGTACTGTGACCTGTTACTACCCTTGAATCTCCTCCGCCCGACTTGATCATGCCAACCCTCCACCAGCTTCACGGCCATCATTGGGACCAATGCAGCTCGGAGCACCTGCCCCTAGCCCTTCATGGGGCTCTGTGCCAATGCATCTTGGAGCACCTGCTCCTAGCCCTTCATGGGGCCCTTCATGGGGCCCTTGAGACATGCTCACCCATTTACCTCTTCTAGACCATACTTTGGGGAGCCGGGAACCTGGCCTTCCCCCTGGCCTGCCTCGGGGTCCTGTGTGGCCTCTTCCCCAGGTGAGGCTCCACAAAGAGCAGTGGGTACACCTGGGTTGGGGGGTGGCCACCAGGAGAGGTCATGGACGTAGCTGGATGTGCACACAGGAGTACAGAAAGGTGCACCTGGCTGCATAGTGTCTCCCCAAATTCGCGCTCACTTGGAAACAAAGAACCTGACGTTATCTGGAAATAGAGTCTTTGCACATGTTGTTAAGTTGAAATTAGGTCCTGCTAGACTCAGGTGGAGCCGAAATCCATGACTAGCGTCCCTATACAAAGAGAGACAGAGATGCACAGGGTTACAAGGACATGTGAGGACAGAGGCAGGGATTGGAAGGAGATGTGGCCATAAGCCAAGCAACACTCAGGATGGCCAGCCGCCTCCAGA